TTTATAAATAATTATATCCCAGTGTGGAAGAAATTTCAAAGCCACAACAGGGATGACCTTGGAGCAACCCACTCTTTGCAGAATACCTTCCTGCTACTTTATTGTCAACATTAACAACCTGTGGATTTGCCTCAGCACTGAATAGAATAAAACACAGCTGGAAGGGACCTTGGAGGTCTTCTAGTCCAGCCCCCTTCTCAAGCAGGAGAACCTATACCATCTCAGACAAGTAGCTATCCAGTCTCTTCTTCTTCAAAACCTCCAGTGATGGAGTGCCCACAATGTCTGAAGGCAAGCTGTTCCACTGGTTAATTGTCCTCACTGTCAGGAGGTTTCTCCTTAATTCCAAGTTGCTTCTCTCTTTGATCAGTTTCCAACCATTGTTTCTTGTCCTGCCCTCTGGTGCTCTGGAGAATAATTTGACCTCCTCTTCTTTGTGGCAGTCCCTCAAATACTGGAATATTGCTATCATGTTCCCCACCCCCAGTCCTTCTTTTCTTTAGACTAGCCAAACCCAAGTCCTGGAGCCGTTCTTCATATATTTTAGTGTCCAGACCCCTGATCATCTTAGTTGCTCTTCTCTGCACTTTTTCCAAACTCTCAACGTCTATTTTGTGATATGTTGACCAAAATTGGTTGCAGTGTTCCAGGTGTGGTCTTACTAAGGTTTTATAAAGCAGTACTAATACTTCACATGATCTTGATTCTATGCCTCTGTTTATACAACCCAGGATTGTATTAGCTTTTTTGGCTGCTGCTGCACATTGCTGGCTCATAGTCAAGTGATCGTCCACTAGGGGTAAGTTGTTTTTGGATGATAAGTTGAAAAGTTTGATTCACTTTTCCAACTCTCCAGCATCTGCACCAATGTTTGTTTGTTTTTTAATCTCTGAGGGAGATGGTTTGTTAGGATGGTGCATGACCACGGACCTCTAACCTATGGGAGTGTTAGGGGTCACTGTGTTAGGGCCTGCTACGTCACATCTCCTGGGTCACCTCTGGGAATGCTGGGAAAACATTATTTTCAGGGGAAAAGTAACCTGGGAGCAAATATATCTCTCATTCCAGACAGATGCTCTTTATTTCATTCCCCTGCTGTTGATTTTTATGGCCAAATGTTTTTTTTTATTCATCCCCTTTTCTTTGTTCCCCTTTTGTGAGGGGCAGAGCAGGCCGAGAGGTCACCTGTTGGCCTTTCCTTCCCTTGGTGTCACCTGGGTGACTAGTGAGGCTCCCAGAGAGCAGGGAAGCTACATATCACCTGCTGTTCCCCAGAGGGCTCGGAGCCCTTTCTTCTTCCCCTCAGCTGTGTCTTCAGCTGAGGAGCTGCTCCCATTTCCTCAGTCCTCTGGGAGGCAGCATGGCCAAGATGGAGGAGGAGAGAAACCCTCTGTCTGGAAAGGCCTCCCTCGTACAACCTGGCCCCTTTTCCTGGGGGAAGAAGCCAGGGGTCCTTATGTCCTCTGGCTCTGATGCACAAGAGGGAAGCTATCTTGCTTCCTTCTGCCAGAAATCCAATAAGAGGGAGGTTTTCTTGGCTCTGATGTTGCTCCCACTTTGGTCTCTGGCCAGAGAAGCAGGATCAGGACTGGCACAGTTGCATTTCACAGTGAGATGCAAACATGGATGCTGCAGCATTAATTCCCTTTCTTAATGTGTTGTCATTCCCCTCATGAAAGAACCCAAAGAAAGTAGGTGATATTAACATTCCCCATTGAAAGTAAAACACCACAAACACAAGAGCCCATTTTTTTCTCTTGTCAGCTTGGTTTCAAGGAGACCAAGCTTATAAAAATACCTCAGCAGCAGGCAGAAGCCTCAGCCTCATAATAAATTAACTAAAGACCTTTATTTGCCTTTGTCAGATTTATACCTGCCTTTTTTGTAAGAGCTTCCTTGGCTGAAAATCCCCCTGGCAGGTGATGCCACAGATGCCTGGTTTCCCCACTCCCAGCTCAGAGAGATGAACCACCCCACATTTCTCCAGGGAGCTTCTGTGACTGAGGGTGGACTCCCCACTCCAGCAGATTCATTATCGTATGGTTCAGTGTATTTTGGAGAGCCAGAAAATGAGTAATGTCAGTAATGAGCTTAATTAGTTATGTTGTGCAGCTGTGTGCTAGCTCAGGCCATTTACTTAGTTTATTATCCAAATCTGCCTGCTGTCATGGTTCTGATAGATGAAGCCCATCAACAGAACTTCAAGGCAAGAATTCTTCCTCAAAGAACATTTTATTCAGGAATCAAAATATCGGCACTATATAGTTGAACCCAAAACTAGTTTCCCTTCCCCTGATACAAAGTAACAAATTGCAATTCCCATCCCTAATAAATAGTCATAAATCACATTCTTCAATTAGCCTGAAACTGCGGGCTTTCTCCCCAGCTCCTCAGCCCGCCAAAACGTTATCAATTCGTCCTTGGGTTCCCACAAATCAGCATGTATTGTTAGGGCTAGCTGAGCTCAAGCATTCATCCCAACCCCCCTTCTGCACCTGATTTCTAAATAGAAGAAAAAGCATGTTAAAAGCAAAGAGAAATGGCTGCGATTTTCATCAGTTGTCAGAGCAGGAAACATCCAATGTTTACAGCATTGACATTTGCTGAATTATAAGCTAACTGAACAGATAGAATTTGCAATGCAACCAGCCACATGCAGTCAAGATTAGCATATTTGCAAATGGATCCACTGAAGGAGGAATCAGTGTTGGTATTTAAATGTCATATAGTTGCCCTGCAGATTATGATCCCACAGGTTGTTGTCAGGTTTGGACCTTTCATTTAGTGATTGCGTGAAGTTGTGACAGTGCCGAATGAATGGTACTTATTATGGGTCATTGAAGCTAAAGCTCTTGCTCTTGCAGTGTCCTGTTTTCACACAATTGTGATTTTCAACATTTTCTGCCAGCTTCCCACAAGCCAATCAATGGGGAAGCTGGTAGGAAATCATATTTATATGATGTAGTCATGAGAAATCATATGTCACAACTGTGTCAACCTGTGACCCCAATTTTGGCTTCAATTCCCAGGGAATACTATGTTCATCTTTTCAATACTGGTGTGACAAAGACTTGAAATAGAAAAAGACAGTAAGATCTATAGAACTCAATAAACATTTAGTCATTTTTCCCTTCTATGGGTTCTGGAGCGAGGAACAGCACAGATCTTAAAAGGAAAGGGATGCAGAGTTATTCCTAGTACTGGTTCTTTACTGAGCTTCTCCACTCCTTCTGGGGGTTGCAACCTAAATGCCCTCAGTAGGCTGGTGAACATAATGAAGACCTGAATCCTTGCAAAGAGTTCCCCCACGCAGCTCCGATCACCTACAGTGAAGATAAAATAAAAACACAAAAACAGTAGTGGCAACCTTTACTGCCTATTCATTGACCATTTACGATATTTAACAACAATCTAAAAAAGGTATCTCAAACTGGTGGAGCAAGGTCTCCTTCATTCACAAAGCCCATACCAATTAACAGAATAGTTATGAGTGAATAGTTATAATAAATTTCATAAAACGAAGATGTATCAGTTCAAACCTAATGCTCACCTAGTCGGAGCTTCTGTTTCTATTGTGGAAATTAGATGTTGATGGGAAGACACCAGCAGGAACTGATTAGTGCAATTCTATATTAATAACCATTTTTGTAGCCACTGTTCTCTTTTTTACTCATTTACTCATTAACATTCATTAGAATAGTTGACATGACAGAACTATCTTAGGCTTAGAGTTTTCCAGGATCTGGTTCCTCTTTCACACCCTGTCAGGAGAAACCCCCTAACCAAGACTAGCACTTCTGCCTGAAGAAAGAGGAAGGAGGCTTTATCCACATTTTAACATGCTTCAGCAGATGCACTGCTTTTTATTTTTCTCAAATCTCTTTCCCAACAAGTTTTAGCAATCCCATATATGGTTTTGTATCTGCACATTTTCTAACAATGAAAAGAAGGGCTACGTGTAAGGAAGCAGTTGTAGGATAGAGTCACCTTGCAGGGGAAATGGGTGGCATAAATAAATAAATATACAAACAAACAAACAAATTTCTAATAATTAAGAGCAGATGGTTGGATTAGCTTCCCTAAAAACAGTAATTCATACATTTTTATTGCTTTACAGAACTCTTTTTATCCCCAATGGGTTGCCATTCTTCCCCACACCTCAGCATACAGGATAAGAAGGATCCCATCTTATATCTATGATTTGAGCAGCTTCCTCTAATTCTTCCTCGGACCTTTCCTCTGACTCAACCCAGTGTCCGCTTCTAAATCAGTGTCTTTGGATATCAGATCCCATCAACCCTTGACTCAGGATGGTGAGGTGTGACAGTGGTGACTGCGGTACATCAGATGCTGCTTCCCCAACTGTAGTAAATATACAAGGGAGCCCTTATTTCTTAATCAACTTACCTTTTTCTCTCTTTTCTTCAAGCTGGGACCATTTTTTTAAAACAAAAATTGAGAGGAAGCATGCAGTCCAGGGCCTCTGCAGAATGATCCTTTGGACCCTCTACGGATGTATTTCTGCCCTTTTTTAACCCTGCCAGATGGTCTGGGGGTGAAGGTGGAGGATCCATAAGATAAGGAGTCCTGGGGCCTCATTTTTTGGAGAGCCTCTCTGGGACCTTCGTCTCATCTTAGGATTACTAACCTCAAAATTTGACCACACAACTCACTGACTGGAGCTAATATAGCTGTGTGCAGTTTTAGTTAGGTTAATCTAACACCAGGAGAATTGCATCACTAAATGTTTCTTTCGGTTTCCATGCTACACAGTTCTCCCCCCCCCCCCATTGATCCAGTTACGTATAGTGGAAAAGAAGCTTCTTAATTTATCTTCCCCCAAATCCCCAGTAGATATAGACTAAATGTTATTTTGCCCTTTAACCTACGCACTTTCAAATGCAATCTCTTTCCTTACAAGCAAAAGAAACCTACACATTTTTTTTCTTTTTGCAAACGAGAAAGAAACCGACATATTACCTGCTCCAAATGGCATAAATGCTTCTTTAATGACAAAATGTCCTTCTTTGTCCAAAAAATGGTTGGGGTTGAATTTTTCAGGCGTCTCCCATTGTTCAGGATCAAGGAGAACAGAGCGCAGGTCTGGTAAAATCATAGCTCCCTAAAATGAAGAAAGAAAGAAATGGAAACATCTGCACCAGTGGCCCCCAACCTTTTGGGCACTAAGGACTGGTTCTGTGAAGAGAGGTTTTTCCATGGATTGGAGGGGGCCTGGTTTCACATGCTGCCTGCATCCCGTAGATGGGACTTTCCTTGTTTGAGTAGCCCTGTTTCTGGCATGCCATGGACTGGTGCTGGTCCATGGACCCCTGATCTAGACAATCTCATTTGTTTCTGGATATTCTATTTCTTTCCCTTGCCTGTTTCAGGTATATATTTAGGTACTAGCTGTACCTGGCCATGCATTGCTGTGGCTCAGTCTGGTTAAATGGAAAAGAAACAAAAGAGAAAGCGCACGTAGTGTGTGTTGCTTTTACGTCCTACAGATGGTGCTGTTTTTGAAAAAAAAAGTTTTTACCTGTCACAGGTGTGACATCTATATAATATAGGTATATAAAAACACACGCATATTCAAATGCAATGTTGTGTCAAAATTTCAAAGCAATTGGTGAAGAACTTTCGGAGATTTAAGATTTTCAACAAATGAATATTTACATTTTTATTTATATAGATATTCAGGTAGTCAATTTTTTTGTAGTGGTTAAGGTGCTAGCCTGGAAAAACCAGGAGACTATGAGTTCTAGTCCCAGTTAAGGCAGGAAAACTGGTTGGATGACTCTCTATCAACCCAAACCATCTCACAGGGTTGTTGTTGTGGGAAAAATAGGAGGAAAGAATATTATGTATTGAGTTATTTATAATGAAGGTGGGATAAAAATCCAATCTAATATTAATAAAATACTTCAAGCACTACCTGTGCTTAATCTGCAGGCTACTTCTGCCACCTCCCTTTTATTTATTAAGTTGTACCCTGCATTTATTATTTTTAGAAATCACTAATCTGTCTTTTTGCTTTGACTCCCATCTCTTCTCTTCATGGAAGCAGCTGAGAGGCAAATGGCGACTGTGAACAAGCCAGGTTATCCTTCATTGAGATAACTCATTTCTCAAAGTCTTGTGTGGTAGTGCTAACTTTCCCAATGAAAGTCACAAACGCAAAGTCTACTTGAGTTCATTCTGAGAAGCCCAGCCTACAGCAAATACAAGCAGTCATTTATGCATATGTGTCAAAACAAAAGAGAGCCAACACAGTTGTAGAAGCAGGAAGCATTGATGGTTTGATACAATAGTGAAAGAAGCGAACAGCAAGCAAACAGCATAAGTTTAAAAAGTAATCCTCATTCACACCTAGACATCAGCTAGAAATAATAATCAGAAGGGGAAACTGAGGCCCAGAAAATGATTTCCACTATGAATGCTATTCTATATTACCAAGAGGGATGTGAATCACTAAATCATGCATATGAAAAAAAACTGCAAAGGAGAAGACTTAAGCATTTAATAAAAATAAGCATTAGAGGACAGGCTGCTTAAAAAATGGCCAGCACCTGCACTTCTGCTGTCCCTTTAAGATCTCTCCCTAGCCAAAATAGCAACTGTTCGCTATAAAAGTTGAGCAGAGAGGCAGGGAAGTGTGGTGTGTTTGTCTGTGGAAATAAAGCAGCCTGAAGTAGCCTAAAACAGGCAGAAAGATATTCTCCAGTAGTAGGACTCACAAGGTGCAAGTTGAGAGCAATAGGAGGATGTGCAGTAGTAGTGGGGAAGAGTGGAGTAGTGAGTAGTGAGTGCTGGCCTTTGAGTGTTTGTCTGTGTATTGCCTAGGACTTATGTTGTTGGGTTGACTGTCTTGTGTTATGGAGCCCACTGAGTTGGGTATACTTAAAAGAACCATGATAATAAGGCATCGAAACTTCTCAGGTGAGCTACTGGAAGAAAGCTTTGAGTTGGAAGTTGGCCTAGTGTGATAAACCAGAAGTCTGACAAAGCCAGCATTCATACATTCTTCCTTGAAAGACATGCTTAGCATAGCAGCAAGTGGATCACTTTGATTCAAACACTGCATTCCAACAAAGTTTTAGCAAAGAGTGGAAGTTCAACAGGGCATCCATATACAGATCCAGCTCTTAAAAGATGATTAGGGGGCTAGAGGCTAAAATGTATGATGTATGATGAATAGTGGCAGAACTGGCTGTGTCTAGTCTAAGAGAGAAGGACTAGATATGACATGATAGCAGTCTTTCAATATTCAAGGGACTGTCAACCTCTTCTTCAAAGCACCCAATGGCAGGACAAGAAACTTATCAAAGAGAGATTCAATCTAGAACTAAGAAATGTCCTGACAGTGAGAACAATTGAACAGTTAAATTATTGTTTTCACTGGGGGTTTTGGGATATCCATCAGGTTTTTAAGAAGAGATTGGATAGTCATTTATCCAGAATGATACAGGGTCTCCTGTCCGAGGAGGGGAATTGGAAGAGAAGACCTCTAATGTCCCTTCCAACTCTGTTATTCTGTACTGTTATACTTGGAATTCAGAAAGATTCATACCTTGGGAATGAGAAATCCATTGAGGTAAACATCCTTCACACATTTTCTTGGTATTCCAAAGAATGTGATGTATTTGCTTCGTATAATCTCATGAATCACAGCATTGGTGTAGGGCAGATTCTTCCGATCTCCATAACAGATGGAGTGAGATGGATCCAAACTGTTTCTATCTCCTTGTAGACCTTGTCTGAGAAAAAGGGTAAGAAAGTAACTGTTATTGAAGAACTTTTAAGTTATCTCAGAAAATAAGATGAATGTGGAGAGATACTTTTCCACCTGAATTATTTCATGTGGTTGCCCTTTAAGAGATTTTGAATAGTAAGTCAGCTGGAGTATAAAATTCTGAGAGCAGGAAAGGATTATTTGCACTCATTGATGGAACTGAAAATAAATGTGTAAAAACTACCACCACCACCACCATCTAGCAGTCCACTCTCTGGATTGGCTGCCTCCCAGAGGTCTGGATGTATCTCACTCTGAGGAAAGCTCTAAATAATTTGGTTTTTCTTCAGATCATATAAATCCTAACCTCTAATGAAGTTTGTTTTGTGTCTGCAGACCTTACATCTGCCATTCCTTCAGTCCTTCATGAAAACAGCAATACAAGGATGTTTGAGGTCCTGGTTGTTTGTCTTTTAGATTTCTTTTTCTTGCTCAAGACAGTATATTATGCTTACTGCCCCTTTAAAAACAGGGTATTGAAAGAGCTGCTTCTGTCCTAGATCACTGCATCAGACTGTGAATTGAATTGAAAATTAACAACAACAACAGTTGATGACCTGTTGAGAAGAGCTTGAAGTTGAAATCACCTCTATTATTCATACTTTTAATGGTGCCACTAATAAGCATTTTGAACAAAAGAAACTGTGGTTATGGATTGGTTAAAAAGGGTTGAACATTTCCCATTTGCTCTATATCAGGGATGTCAAACTCACAATGTCATGTGATGCATGATGATGTATCGTGACTTTTTCCCCATTGCCGGAGCTGGGGTGGATGCGGTTTCGGCATGCCGGTGGTTTGACACCCCTGCCCTACATGGATGATTTAAAACTGTTTGGAAATGAACTTGATAATGAAGAGTTGATAAAAGCAGTAACATCAGAAGAGTATTTAGGAATTTTGTTAAGTCTCTGACTTCTTGCACAACCCAGTCAAGGAAGTTGCTTCAACACAATACATAAAACAACAGAAACTCCAGAATCTCTTGCGATCAAAGCTAAGTGGAGGAAATATTATAAATTAATCCCTGGGCAGTGCCTGTAATATGATACTCAGATGGAATAATTGACTGAATTCAGCTAAAACATCATAATTTCGATCAAGAGATTAGAAAACTAATAATTATGTACCATGCTCTGCACCCACAAAGTGATATTGATCAATTGTACTTGCCTAGATCTCAGGGTGGCAGAGGACTCTTACAGGTTAAACAAACTGTGGAAGAGGAAAAAACATGGCTTAAATGACTACATTAAAAAAGCAAAAGAACCTCAGCTGAAGGAGGTGATTAAGGGAAACCTCTTGACAATAGTGAGCTTGGAAGCAGAATATCGAAAGAAAACAATTGAGCATCTAGTTTCTAACAGGAAAAAGAAGTCTAAGCACAGTCAATACCTGAAGGACATTGAAGGAAAGATAGATACAAAGCTAACATGGGGATAGTTGAGATAGGGGTGCTGAAGAAAGAAACTGAAAGCTTCATTTTAATTGCCTAAGAACTAATTAGCCCTGCGGACCAATTCCAAATTCAACATGTCAATAATGAGAGCAAATATCGTTTATGCAACAAGGCAGATGAAAGAGTGGATCACTTTATCACTGGCTGGAGCAAAATCTCACAAACTGATTATTTACAACAGCAGGATCGAATTGCCGAAATCATACACTGGAAGCTTTGCCAGCAATTTGGATTCGAATGCAGCAAAAATTACTGGGAACACCAAGTTGACAAAGTTCTTGAAAATGAACAGGTCAAGATCTTGTAGGACTTTTGAATCCAAACAGATGGACCTTCTGATTCACAACATGCCTGACATCACTATTGTGGAAAAGAAAAAAAGTCTGTTTCATTGATATTGCAATACCAGGTGATGCACGAATTGAAGAGAAACAACTAGAAAAAAGAAGGAAATACCACAATCTGCAAATTGAAATTGAACGATTGTTCTTACTTGGAACTGCCTATATACTCAGACATCACCTTAACAGCTTTTAGATCCTTGATTAGGACTTCAACTGTTAAGTTTTTACTAGTCCCAGACTGTGAATCAAATTGAAGATTAAATCAATAATAATAATAATAATAATAATAATAATAATAATAGTAGTAGTAGTAGTAGTAGTAGTAATAGTAGTAGTAGTAGTAATTGTAGTAGTAGTATGTAGTAGTATGTGGCAGTGCCTGGAGACAGAGAATAGAAGAGAAAGAAGTGGAGAAAATAAAAAAATACAAAGACCTACAAATAGAAATAGAATGACTATGGCAAAGGCAAACAAGGGTAGTACCAATAATAATATGTGCCTTGGGTGCAATCCCAAATCAATTGGAGCACCACTTGAACAGAATTGGCATTGACAAATTCACCATCAGTCAATTGCAAAATGCGGCCTTACTAGGAACAGCTTCCGTCCTGCGATGATATCTGTAATACCATCAATTCAAACATCCACATCTGCCTATTCCAGGTTCTTGGTAAAAACTTGATAGGTAGACAAAAATGCCAAATCCAGTCTGAACATCTGGCTGACTTTGCAATGAATAATAATAATAATAATAATAATAATAATGACATTCAACAAAAGACCAAGGATGCTACATTGGTTATTAAATAACAGCAGTTTAGAACAGTTTACTATGAATCTGCTTCAGTTTTCCAAGCTTTTTACTATTCTCAGGATGATCAGTATGTTCCTGCTGCAATACAGATAGTCCCTATCCACAACTGGCACCAAAATTTCCATTGTTAAGAAAGTTGATTTTTAAGTGATTTTCACTCAATTTTCTAATCTTTTTTGCCATTGTTGTTAAGCAAATAATTGCAGTTGTTATCAGAAACCACCAACACATTAACATAGCCACATGGCATCCAACAGTACACAAATCAACTAAAACACTCATAAACATATTAAGTAAACTAAAAGTTCCAGCAGCCCAAGGGAAAAAAACTGGAGTAATCTACCACATACAGTGTAAAGATGTAACAGTCACTATGTAGGAAAAACAGGCAGAAGATTAGCAGAATGCATCCATGAACATCAACTAGCAGTCAGAAGATATAATTAAAACTCCTTAATTTCACAACACAGGAAATTAAAACTCCTTAATTTCACATCACAACTGAAAGCAGAGACTTTGGGGGGGGGGGATTGGGGAAAAACATGGAACTTTGTTTTTATATATGAAAGCTGCAACAAGATCAAAGGTACAATTTAAATTTTGACAATTTAAATGATCACATCATCATCATCGTCATCATCATCATAATGTTGGAAGGGACCTTGAAGTTCATCTAGTTGAACCCCCTGCTCAGGCAGGAAACCCTATACCATTTCAGACAAATGGTTGTCCAGTCTCTTCTTAAAAACTTCCAGTGTTGGAGCATCCACAACTTCTGGAGGGAAGCTGTTCCACTGATTAATTTTTCTAATAGTCAGGAAGTTTCTCCTTCGTTCTAGGTTGCTTCTCTCCTTGATTAGTTTCCATCCATTGCTTCTTATCCTGCCTTCAGGTGCTTTGGAGAATAGCTTGATTCCTTCTTCTTTGTGGCAACCCCTGAGATTTTGGAAGACTGCTGTCATGTCACCCCTGGTCCTTCTCTTCATTCTTGATGCAGTTATATCTTTGATCTTGTTGTGACAATTTAATTTGTTAAAATAATTCAAATTTATTCACAGGTTAAAAGGAAAATACTTTGCCTCTTTACGTTTCCTCAGATAGTCATTGAATCTTGCCTTCTGGAACTAAATCATGATACATACCGTCCGCCATTTTTTCCAGTTGGCAGAGCAGGGCTATTTTGAAGCTTAGGCTGCAACTAGATGCACAGATGTTCTCTCACTGAAAATAATGATGTACATTGATCAGGTTTATTCAGACATTTGGAGCTGCTTTAGATGATTTTGTCAGAAGAATGACTGCTGATCAACAAATTTGTAAGGTGTGACTAGGAAGATTGCACTTTCATCCGTACATAGCAGAATTTCAGTTCTGTGCCTGGGTTATGTGCTGGATGTCTTGATCAGCTAACTTTGAAAAAAACAAAAACAAACATAAATTCAATTTATTATCCCAGCTAGCCTTCACATTCTTACAGGTTCAAAAATTCACTCTCAGCTCTTTTGGACTAATTGGTAATGGCTTAATTCAGACACAGAGAATTTCCTGCACAATTACTTGAAAAGCCTACAAATGGAAATAATTGCAAAGTAACATCCTTCAAATCAGGTAACATCTTGATTTGTAAAATTCCCCAGTAGCATCAGTGACCATCCTGAATGCTTGCAGCTGTTACAGCTTCCATGCCCATCCAATCATCTTAGAAATAAAGTATCTGCAAACCATAATCCTTACATCTCCTAGGAGCTTTGGACAATTCCTTTTTTTTCTCTCAACAATGTCAGCAGTGTAAAAAAAAATTGCAATGTTGCAGTCTTCTCTCCCTTCCTCACCACTGTCTGAGCCTCCTTCCTTGCTAGAAAAAACATGTGGATGTTAATCTTTGAAGAGAAGGAAGTGGCTGCTTTGCTGCCTCATCAGGCATGTAACTATAGCATTGATTAGCTACCAGGAGCTGAGATCCCAGCTAAACAAAATTCAACAATATAATGTCAAGTTTGCATTAAATAAAAATCAGGGAAAAATCACCTCAGTGAGAAATCCTCCTTCTTGGGTCTTTCTAAAATATTCACATATTATGCATTTGATTAATTGGAGTATTTTGGGACTGAGCTTGGTTGTTTTGTTGAAGATTTTTCATTACCCAACCAGATAACATCAAGAGTGCATTCGTTGCAGATCCTTAATGTGGTATTGTAAATGCTACCCATTTGGTTAATTTATGTTTCAACTTGTAGATTACACAACCCCCAAAAAGGCTGAGCAGGTGCACAATTATGCAATGTACCTAGTTAAGCTCACTACTGATATTATCCATTTTCTGGCTTTCCGAAATCCACTGAGCCATAAGATAATGAATGTGAAGGTGTGGCGACCCCACCCTCAGCCACAGAAGCTCCTTGCAGCCGCTCCCTCTGAGCCCCAGAGTCAGGGTGGTATGGCGGTGAAGATGTGGGAATGGGAATGGAGTGATCAGGGATCTGGGGCATCACCTGCCAGGGGAACTTTCGGCCACTGCCATCCTCTCTGCCCAGTCTACCTCGGAAGGTTATTGCTGTGATTAAAACGAAGAGAGGATCCCCAGGGAACCTCCTAGAAAAAAAATCTGACAAAGATAAATGAACGTTTTTAACCAAGTCATTATGAGGCTGAGGCTTCTTCCTGCTGCTGAGGCATTTTGACAGGATTGGGCTCCTCAGAACAGACTAACAGAAGGGGGAAAGGGGCTCTTAAGTTTGTGGTATTTGTCTTTCAATGGGGAGCGTGATTATCACCTACTTTCTTTGGATTCCTTTGTGGGCTGAATGACAACACATTAATAAGGGAACTTAAAGCTGCAGCACTGATGTTTGTATCTCAGTAGGAAATCCAAGTTGCTGGTCCTGATCCAAAAAGCCAGAGTGGGAGCAAGACCAAAGTCATGAAAACCACCCTCTTGTTGGATCTGAGGCAGTAGGAAACAAGACGGCCTCCCTCTGGTGCCTCAGAAGCCAGAGGAAGATCAGGGCCCTCAATGTCTTCCCCCAGTAAAGTGGGACAGGTTGTACAACGGAGGCCTTTCCAGCAAGAGGGTTTCTTTCCTCCTCCATCTTGCCTGTGCTGCCTCTCAGAGACACTGAGGAAATGGAAGCAGCTCCTCACCTCAGCTGGAGATATTGCTGAGGGGGAAATGGCAGGAAGAAGAAAGCTCTCTGGGGAATAATAATAACAGTAGTAGTAGTAGTAGTAGTAGTAGTAGTAGTAGTAATAATAAAAAAGTCTGGATAGTGGACGTGGCAGTGCCTGGAGATAGCAGAATAGAAGAGAAAGAGCTGGAGAAGATAACAAAATACAAAGACCTACAAATAGAAATAGAAAGACTGTGGCAAAAGCAAGCAAGGGTAGTACCAATAGTCATAGGCTCCTTGGGTGCAATCCCAAAACAACTGGAGCACCACTTGAACACCATTGGCATTGACAAATTCGCTATTAGTCAATTGCAAAAGGCGGCCTTATTAGGAACTGCTTCCATCCTGCGACGATATCTGTAATACCATCAAACATCCACATCTGCCTATCCCAGGTCCTGGGTAAGGACTCGATAGGTAGACAAAATGCCAAATCCAGTCTGAACATCTGACTGACTGTGCGATGATCCATAATAATAATAATAATAATAATAATAATAATAATCATGGTGGAAGTGACCTTGGAGGTCATCTAGTCCAACCCCCTGCTCAGGCAGGAAATGGCGGGAGACACACAACATTCCTGCTCTCTGGGAGCCTCACTTGTCATTCAAGCGATCCTGAAAGAGGGAAAGGCCACCGACCTCTTGGCTTTCTCTGTCCTTCACAAAAGGAGTGGAAAGACAAAAGGAAAAAAAAGATAATGTTCACATATTGCTATGTGAAACAGAATGTCAGAGTACACTTTTTAGCTTAGAAAAGAGCTTGTAGGTGCAACAACTAAAGGCCCAAATACCACCTCCCATGCCCTAGATGCCTTAAACAAGGAAATAAGGCAAGTCAGAGAAGCAACCCTCGAGAATAGAGCAGCTATTGATATTTATTGTTAAGGCACAATCATGGCTGTGAAGAATTCCATGGGCTTTGCTGTTTCAACCTATCTGACCAATCTGGACTAATTGAACAAGATATCAAACATTTAAAAGAACTAGCACAGAACATTGGACATAACCAATCATCCTGGGACCTTTCCTGGCTCTTCTCATGGTTACCATACTTTCATTGGTTGAAAATTCTCATCGCAAGCATAATCACAGTAATAATAGTAATAGTAATAATAATAATAATAATAACCATAACAATAATAGTAACCATAACAATAACAATAAAGTTGGAAGGGACCTTGGAGGTCATCTAGTCCAACCCCCTGCTCAGGAAGGAAACCCTATACCATTTCAGACAAATGGCCGTCCAGTCTCTTCTTAAAACCTTCCAGTGTTGGAGCATTCACAGCTTCTGGAGGCAGGTTGTTCTACTGGTTAATTGTTCTAACTGTCAGGAAGTTTCTCCTCAGTTCTTGGTTGCTTCTCTCCTTGATTAGTTTCTGTTCTGGAAGATGGTATGGAGAGAGCATCATTTTTTCACCTATGGGAATAAACAGAGATGTATTATCCAGGAGAAACAACCAACATAAATGCAAGTAATTTCTCTGAATAAATATGTTCTTGTTATGAAATCATTTCCATTGAGTTTATCTATCTGATCTGATTTATAAGGCGTTTTAACTCAGGATCAGATTAGTGAAAAAATGCTCAGAGTTCATATCAGCTTTATAAAGGCAAATAGTAATTTGATGTGGCTAATTTCCTTCAATCACCTGCAACAGTAATTTGATGGGGCTAATCTCCCATTAAACGCCTACAAAGTAAATTCAAGGTATCTTCGCATTTGATTCTGAACTAAAGAAAAGTAAAAGTTATAAAGTGCTTTGTGTCTTGTTTGGATACTTCTGCTAAATTACCTTTGGATCTGTTTACAAGCCAATGTTTAAAGCAAAGAGATATTGTGATGTCCATCTCACTAAGTAAAAGAAGAAAAATCTGCACTCTCATTGTAAGGATTCTCTGTATGTAAAGGCTGAGTCGCCCCCCTCCTCCTTTCTTTGCCAGCAACTTCAAATAGCTTAGGGCAATGAGAGGATTGTTTCAAAAGATTGTCTGTGAATCTATTTCCGTTTACAAAAGAGCTGTGTGTGTTATAACTGCTTCAGTAAGCCTTGAAGAACTTTGTCATTAGTAGTGAATTTCAGCTAGCTTGTTTTGGGATGCCTTGGAATGCGTGAGACTGACCTTTTTAAACAAACATAGCAGGCTGAAAAGGTTTCTTTGCTGGCAAATTCAAACCTTAGCAAATCTCTGTTGCCTTTGTTTAATGCTCAGAAAGAGTATTCTCCCCCTTTCTGGCCCCAACAGCAGGCAATAAAACCATTTGTCGCCTTAGCAACCCAGCCCTGCAGAGAGAGAAGCTAAACTCCCCCTCCCCTTGGAATTTCAACTATGTCAATGGAAAAACAGTGTTCAGAGGTTCCAATAGCAATGCAGTAGCATCCCCTGGTGGCCAATTTATACATGACACCTTCCTTATGCAATTCTCTTGCAATTTATATGCTAGATTACAGCAACTTGATAATTAATTCAGGACATAGCAGGCTTATACCAAGCCAAGCTAAGAGCACCCCCTAGAGGAGAAAGAAGGTACTTCACTGCACACACTTCTAACTACGCAGAGTGAATCTGATAGTTAAAAAGCAAGTTATCTAAATTCATCCCAAGCTACCTACACCCCCTAAAGGGCACAGAGTGAACGTCTCCAAAAGTAATCACTCACTCAAGCTGACGACCAAGAAGTTCTAGCTTGAGGGAAATTAAGGAGAAGAACAGGCAGCAATTATTCTTGCTTATTATCACAGAGCTGATGACCAAGTAGTTCCAGCCTGCAACTTAACGACCAGGTGGGAGTTTGTAGGAGCTAGTGAAAGCTCTGCATTCTCTCAGTGGCCACTAGCAATAACGTGGTAATAAGAAGAATTTTGGCTGGCTTCTCTCCAGTGCTTCCTAGTGGCTAAAGGAGGAACTACATGCAAGCCTTTAATCACATATCGAGAAGCCCTCTAGTGGACAAAGGGTGAACTTCGAAGGAAGAGCACCCTGGTAGCTGACCCACAGGGAGTGACCCCTAGTGGTGAAAAGGTGAATTACGCTGAAGTACCCACAAATGCAGAAGAACGCACCCAGTGGCGTCTCCACCCACAGACAGCTCCCCAGCAGCTGATCTGCAAGTAGCGACCCCTAGTGGTCAAAGAGAGACGTTCATCAGATTTGCTTCAAAATAGGTAGGAAGTGTACTGAACCTATCCTGGCCATGGCA